ATGTGATCCCCTTTTGAGACCTTCTGACAAGCAAAGGTAATGGATTCACTTAACAACTGGGTTACTATCTTATCAATTGCAGCAATTCACTTAACAATGGATGCAAGGAAGGTTGTAAAATGGGACAACGTTCACTTAACAAATGCCTCACTTAACAACATAAAAGTTGGGCTCAACTGTGGTTGTAAGTCGAGGATTTATACTGTATAACTAAATATACTATATAACTAAAAGTTGCCTTCTCAAGTAATTTTGCCGTACCCAGTAATCCAGTTCTCTGGATTAATTTCTTCTTAGCCTGGGGCAATTATTGATATCAGGAGCGAAGAAAAGCAGAATTTGTGGTTAATGCTCAAAAATCAATACCACCGAGTTTTTGATGCAGAAAATCCAGCTAATCTTATTATAAATCTCCTTGGCAAGCTGCAAGTGTACGAGCTGACTTCTTGTTTAATCCTGCCATTCTTTACCTAAAGACTTTGGAAGGGTTGAAATTCACTTTTATTTCCCAGTGAGCGCCAGAGGAAAACCTCTTTCTCAGACTCTAGTTACTCACCTGCCAAAGAAGACGTGCCTATCTGGATTTTATTGCACTATCATTGAAAATGCAGAAATGAAATTTTTGAGCATCCTCTTCAGGTGCCGGGTAGATCCAATTCCTACGGTTGACATTATTTCCAATATTTTGAGGTGATGATGTCCTCCAGAGAAGTAGCATTCCCCTTGAGCAGATGTCTCCAAGACCTGGTTAATTTAAGGCTTATGGTCTTCAACTTCCAGAATTCCCCAGCCAGCATGGCTGTCTGAGGAATTCTGGACGCGGAAGTCTACAGGCCTTAAAGATGCCAAGTTTGGAGGCACCTGCTCCTGGGGAAGCAAAGTTTGCATATCAATAGGTCTTTTCTTCCTGATTTTCACTGCTGTCTGGCCAAGCCACCGATGTTGGAAGGTGGGTAGCATTTCATTCTTCTCACAAGTGTAATTATTCCACATTTTCACGGCTTGGCAGGTGCATGCCTTGTGCCTGGAGAATAACACATTGGCCTCCTCACAATTCTCCACCCCACATTTCTCAAAAGGGTCTTCCTTCACCCAATGTAATGGCTCCGTTCCCGGAACCAGCTCTTTCAGGCTTAACCCACAAAAAGGAAACACAAGGTTGAGTGTGCTCCTAACAAAGCCATTGTCTTTCCCTCAGCCGAACAATCAAGAAAACATTCTCCTCAGGGCTCTTGAAAAGAAGCTGCTTGGATCCATTACCAAACTCAGCCAGAATTCCATTTGCTGTTCCCCCAACCCAAACTGACCAGAAAATTCCCAAGCTCCATAAGAACAGAGGAGAACCACCAACCAATTTTTGTAAAATAATAACCATTGGCATTGACAAAATCCCCATCGGTCAATTGCAAAAGGCAGCTTTGCTTGGAACAGCTTACATCCTGTGGATGACAACTTGAACACCATCAAACCACCACGTATGCCAATTCCAGGTCCTTGGGAAGGACTCCATAGGTGGACAAAAATGCCAAATGTAATCTAAACTTCTGGCTGACTGTGTGATAAGCCATAATAATAGTAATAATTTATTATTCAACAACTTGAAAACTGTTGGCATTGACAATCTGCTCATTGGTCAATTGCAAAAGGCAGCTTGAGTTAGAATAGTTTACATCCTGCAATGATTCCTCCAACACCATCAGACATCAACAACTGCCTACCCCGGGTCCTTGGACAGGATTTGATAGGTGGATAAAGGTGGCCTGATTGTACAACCAACCATAATAATAAGTTAACGTTGTAGTGTGATCAGATGAGTCCCTTTACATGCTTACTATGTCCAACTGAAATAACACCCTTAAGAAAAGAAGATTATACATGATCCAATAGAAGATCCATTTGCTACTGTCTTCTTCTACCTACAAAGATGTTCTTGAGAAGTTCTTGAGAAGTTCAGAAGCATTCCATTAACCGAACTGCTACTATATTCATGTTTGTTTCTCCTAACAATGAGGCCATGAGTGTACATCAACCCGCCTGAGATAACCAAATGAAAGTACATCTAGAACTTTATTCCTCCAGACCATCCTGCCAGAGTTCCTTCTGTGCAAACAGATAGATAGGGGTTGGCTGCAGAAGTCAAATTGTACCTTTCAGCTGTCTGTCCCAACCACCAACATGGAATTCACCCACGAATGAAGGCGAATATAATGTGTCCCTGGATAATGTTGAAAGATCCAATCTAGGTTGGACCAGAGGTTTTGTCTTCCAAGCTTTTGGAAACAGAACCCTCATCAGTCAATAGAACTGCTGATTTATCACCAGACCATCAAGTACTTAGGGCTGGACAGCATGAGCGATCCACAGCCAATGACTTAAAAGTAACACACTCCAATCAACATCTAAAAAGCCATATATAGCAGGCTCTACACACAGAACAACACACACTCTGTTAGAAGTTCCCTGAAGATGGGCTCTAGCAAAAGTCCAAAAGCTTAAAAGATGAAAAGTCTGGTACTGGTGACCAACCCAGGTTGGATCATGGAATTCACCTCTTGGATGGTGTTTTGCATTTGACGCCATAGAACGAGGACTCACATTTCCTAAACTCATCTTTGTTCCTGTGAATGAAGCCTGTGTGTCCTCAACTACCTCTATCCCTTAAGGGGCATTTCTTGATTTTGAATAAACTTATGAGCAACTCTGAAGTTCCAGGGATTTTATTCATGTCCCCATTCGGTTCACCTTAAAAAGACCAGAGAATGCTGTTTCATTTCCAGGGGCTTCTTCTTCTCCCTCAGAAGAATTATCATGACAATTACAAGGTCATCTGGGCCAAAGAACAGATGCAACCCACGAAAGATTATAAGCATGCCCAGATCACAGTGAAATAAAAAAATACTGCACTATCCAATCAAAACTGTATCCAAGGGTTCAAGAGACCATGCGCCCTACTTATAGGTCCAGAAAGAGCCATTTGAAATCCAGCGCAAAGGAGAACCCATCACTTCTTTCCTTAACTGGTACCCATCTTCAACTAGAAGGAAGTTTGTTCTAATATTCAACTGGGAAGTGGTTTTCCTCTCAATTTTATCCATGATTCCATGTTCCATACTCTTAAGGTGACAGAGTTTAGACTTTTTCCTGCGTCCTTAAAAAAAAAGATTACTATCCCTTTCCCGTTATCCTTTCAGAAGGAAAACACATCTAGTTCCCTCAACTTCTCCTGGGCCAATTAAGTTTATTGTCCCCTCGATCATCTAGGGTTCCCTTCTCTGCACCTATTCTCTGAATCTTTTGGGGGGGATCAGGCAGCATGCAGAACTGGACGAAGAATTTGAAAGGATAGACCCAATGCCGAATAAAGTTGAACAATTACATTCCATGGACAATTGTTCTTCTCTTGATCTGAAGGATGGATACCCAGCCAGCTCAAGAATTTTGACATCAACCTGGATATTTCATCCTGTTGACCATCATCTGGCACCCTCTAAATGTTCCCTGACTGGATATCACCAGCCAGCCGAAAATTTTGAAAATGCAATTCTAATGCAATAGGATTGGGAGGAGATGCCTGAATAATTTTGTGTGGATTTTGCACAACTTAATTTTGCAAGTCCCATCCATTTTGGTAGTATCCCTTCTTTCATCGTTGTATTGCAATATCTTTTAATATCTGTAAAACTTAGTCCTGGACCTGAGATCCTAGACTCTAGATACCCTGAGGCCAAGGGCCCTCAAACATATGGCAGTGATCAAAGATTTACTACATATTTCTCCAGTCACAATTATTTTGTTTCCCCTGTGTATCACAATACGATAAGCAAAATGAATCATGTAAATAAACATTAACTGCAAAGAAAAGGTCTCTTTAAAAATACACAGAGAATAGAATACTGACACGTTTTATAGAAAACAGATTTTACATTATTGTGTATGGATTGATTGATTGACTGATTGACTTATTGATTGGCTGATTGATTGATTGATTGGCTGATTGATTGAGGTATACCAATGTTCTTCAACGTGGCCACTTTAAGGTGCGTGGACTTCAACTCCCAGAATCCCTCAGCCAGTATGAAGTTGAAGCCTACACATCTTAAAAGCTGGGAAAAACAACCACTTGACACTAATTTGACACTGATTTGATGCTAGCTGAGTATCTCAAGTGGCCATGATGGTTTATTCAAGTCATTGTCAACCAGATGGACGACGGATAACTTGATACCCAACGGGGCTTCACAATTCCTTCCAGGTCAAAGCTCACCATTTGCTTTCAATAGACTTTAAATAGCCTGTGAGCAGCATGCAGGGAGCGTTGTGCCAAGACAAAAACCATCAAAGAAAATGTGTAGACTTTATCTTGAGTTCAAACTCAACTGAGTTGATAGGACATTTTACTCTTACCAGTTGGGCATTTCATCATTTTTTTAACTTTAGGTCACCTTTAAAATGGCTATTTGTTTGGAAGTCTTAATGGGTTTAGTTCTGCAATGCTACATGGGGCCATGGGGCCATCAATCCCCAGTTATAATATGGGTTATGTAGTCTCACTAGATGAGATGTTCAAAACGAGTACCCTACGTTGTTCTAGAGAAGTTAGAGTTGGATGTAGCTTGTCAGCACAACCAGGATAAATAAAAGTTGAAGCACATAGCAAGCTGGTTCTCCATCATAAAGATCTGGACATTTTACCTTGCATGATAAGAGGTTTGGAGAAACCAGAGACGCATAAATCTGGAATGGAACTCAAAGTGCAAAACAATAAAATCTAAGATTCCATAAAATAATGGACAGCCAGCTACCTGCTGTCCTCTTGACAATACACAGTGATTGGATATCTAATACACTAGACGTCAACACTGAAAAACATCTGCGTAAAATAAATGTGCCTCTCTTTTCCTTCGTAAAGCTATGAAACACCACAGATCGTTTCCTCTTTTTTTTTTTCCTTTTTTTTTAAGTGCACAAGTTTAAACGTAAAAGAGGAGCCAAAGAGGACTTTAGACAGTGAGGGAGATGAAACTGTTGTATCTTTGAATATTCCTCTTGAGGATCTCGGAGCAAGGGCCGAGGACTCGTTCGAAGCGTGGGCGATCCAGCTTCACGCACTTCAGGGGCCCGCGGGCCACCACCGTAGCAGCCCTGGGCCTGTTGAGCAAGAGGGCGATTTCCCCTGGAAGTGGGAAGAAAACGTAGCGTCACCATTGTGCTTCTGGAGAAGAAGCCTTTAGCTTTGATCTCAGTTCGTATCATTAGCTACTAGCTCGATACTCCTGCTTCGCTACAAAGCTATGTGGTCGGGCGTAGTTTTGGGGAAGGAAAATAAGGGGGGAAAATTCTGCCTCTGCCTACCAGCATCCATCAGTATTCATCTGGCTAGCGTCTTGTCAGTGAGTGAGAGAGTTGAGGACTGTTTGGAAACTGAAAGAGTGTTTGCCGTGTGAGCCAAGAAGGAGATAGCAAGGAGCCTGGGCGTGGCTTAGCTCAACTGTTCTGGACTAAAGCTGCTTTGTGCTATGAAACTAAAACTGAAACTGAAACTCCTCTCCTCTGCTTGTGTTTTGCATTTGAAAGAGATTTCTTTCCAGGTGGGGAGGGGGAGTAGAACTCCTTAGTATCAGAGCATGTTAATAATAATAATATAAGAAATATTCTAAACGCTCTGAGGATCATTTCAAAAAACCCTTTCTTAGGGAGCCCCTAAAAGCCAAGAGGAACATACATGCCAAATTTCAAGTTTGTAGGCTTTACAGTTCTGGAGATTTTCTGATGATGCGTGGAGTGGTATTTCGCTTTTTATATGTATAGATTTCCAGATCAGGAATTTAGTATGCAATTATTCTGCCCTGTTTGGCAAATCGGACAAGAAAGCCAGACACCAACATCATCCTTAAAATATACTCAGGAAGAACAAGTGGGATAATTTGAGACTGCAAGGATCGCTCATCTTAAAGTGGTCACCTATTTCCCTTTTCCTTTCTGATCCAACAATCTGATTCGTCTCAGTCGTCCGTGCTAAGGTCTTCCCCTCAATTTTTCCTCAATTGCTTCCTTATCAACATTTTGTTTGATCATAATCTACCCAAAGGACATCAAAGAATGCCTATCTAACATCACCTTGTACCAGGGGTGGGCTTCAAAATTTTTAGCAAGGGGTTGTCTGCCCAGTTGCCGGGTGAACGTGGTCATGTTGGGCATGGCCTAGTCAGCCTCTTGCGCCACCAAAGCCTCCCCGGGCTCCGAAGGCTCTCTGGAAGCCTGAAAAGGGCCCATTTCCGGCCTTCCCAAACTTCCCGGAAGGCTCATGTTTGGCAGATTGGATGATAAATGCTGATATTTCCTGGTGTTTCTGAACCATCCCATTCCATGGAGCTTACCAAAATAATCAGATGGACCCAGGCGTCCGACTTCTACATATTCCTCTTTGTCAGACCTACGCTGGAGGACAGAAGCTGTGCCCTAGAAGAGAAGACCAAAAGAATCAGTTGCCCATCGCCCCAAAATAAGGTGCATTATTACTCTCTTCCTTTGCTTACCTTTGGGAAGTGGGCCTTTCAGACATGCTTTGCAGAAGGTCTTGGGGCTCTTCTATGAAAAGATGTGTCAAACAGGACAGATAGTCTTTGGCTTAGAACCATCAGCACTTGGTCCAAAAAGACATGGAGGTCTTTTTGGTTCTTATTTTCTCTTTTGTCCTGACCTAAATAGCGGAGCTCCAGGCCAAGGAATCGGGGTCTTTGTTAAGATGGGCTCCCAGGGACACAGAGTTTGGGGTTGCTAATTCATCACTCCACCTGCTCAATAATGCTTGCGTCTGCTTCACAACACATCGGCCAGCCCAAACTGCACTAAGTCAGGGAGGAACCCGTCTCCTTTCCAAAAAAACAGCTCCAAACCCTCCAGATTGATTGGAAAAGCTGGAATCCGCACCCTTAATAAGCTTTATTGGCTGCCAACTACCGAAATCGTTAATCCCGGGGAAATCGGGAGAATAAGAGGCACACTGGATCTGCTTCTCATCTGGTGGGTCAATCTCTGAAACATAGATACAGGCAGACACACTACATACCGCACACCTGAAATATTTATTGCCTTGTAAAATGCATCATGTGACTTGAAAAGGGGTTGTAAATTCCTAAGGGAGACATTTCAATTCCTCTCAAGTACTCTCAGCGTGGCGTCAGGTATTAGTACTATGACCAGACACAGAGTTGGTTTTTCTCCCATACCATCACGCTTTTGAACACCTAATTCTCACAGCACTGTCTTTGGCCTAAATATATTTGCCCATGTAGTAGGCTGTGTTGCTATTATCGTTTATATTTTCTTATCTTTCTCATTTCTCATCTTTCCTACTTTCTTCTCATATTGCTATCTTGTGATTTATCACTTGTTGTTTGTATCTTATGATTAATGATTGTAACTCGGATTTATGATGTATGACCTATCACTCTGTTGTTTGTATGTACACCGAGTGCTTCTGCACAGGGGACAAATTCCTTGTGTGTCCAATCACACTTAGCCAATAAAGAATTCTCTTCTCTACTCTACTCTACTCTACTCTACTCTACTCTACTCTACTCTGTTCTCTATATTCTGTTCTCTTTTTCTCTTCTATTTCTGTTCTTTATTCTTTTCTCTCCTCTCCTCTCCTCTCCTCTCCTCTCCTCTTCTCTTCTCTTCTCTTTTCTCTCCTCTCTTCTATTTCTGTTCTTTATTCTCTTCTCTTTTCTCTCCTCTCCTACTCTACTCTATTTTTTGTTCTATGCTATTTTATTCTACTCTACTATAATGATAATTCTAGTATTATGACAATATTATTGTTTGCACACAGTATCATGACTGTACCAGCAAATCATTAGGGATCTTGTGAGATTGCTGTCTGGTTATGAAAGTATGACCTTGAAAGTTTGGGGCAGAGAAAGATTCTGAATCCAGAATCAGCGGCTAAGGCAGAGTGCTTTTTCTAGGTCAGCTCCTGTCATTCTCACCACCCGGAGCTCAAATTGGCTCAGCCCAGAAGTGGAAATAATAACAGTTCCCAAAGAACTGTTTTTAGAAATTCCAGGGATCAGGGAAGATTTATTGCTTTGACTACCAAACGTTTATTAGCCTGAGGAGTAATTCCCCACTCTGGCCCAAGAGCTGTTGCGAGGTCAAATCGCCTTCTGAAATTAGTAAGACATCAAGAATTTGAATAATGTGAATTCAACATCTCTTAAGATCAGGCTGCTCACTAGCATTCAGATTTAAGAAAGCAATTCCAAAACCTGAAGTCAAGGAGGAACGAGCAGTCGGGAGTTTTTCAGAAAACTTCAGTCAACCTGGTTAGTAATGAAGGAGGCTGAATGACCCTGGGCTCTCTACCCTAGTAAAACTCTTTTTTAGATGGGTAGAATTTGTGAATTTGGGCACTGTCGCATATTTATTTCTCCTTTCAGCCAACTAAGGAGTTACTCCTAGGAGGTTAGAAGAGTTTCCTCCAGGTGTTCAAGGGGGTATCATTTTTCCTGCCATTTTTTTTCCCTCCAGAATGTGAAGTAGGTAAGCTGAGGAAGAAGTTCAGATCCAACTTCCAAGAAGGTTCAGTGTGGCTGAAAGTGGACTTGGACCTGCATCTCCTGAGATCTTCCAAGGAGCTTCTATGTGGCTGAGGGTCGACTTGAATCTGCATCTTCCAAAATCATCCAAGGAGCATCTGTAGAACCAGGTGGACCTGTGTCTCCCAAGGTGATCTAAGGAGCTTCTGTAGGACCGAGGGTGGACTTGGACCTGTGTCTCCCAAAGTCATTTAAGGAGCATCTGTAGAATCAAAGGTGGACCTATATCTCCCAAGGTCACCCAAGGAGCTTCTGTAGGACCGAGGGAGGATTTGAATCTGCATCTTCCAAGGTCATCCAAGGAGCATCTGTAGAACCGAAGGTAGACTTGGATCTGTGTCTCCCAAGATGATCCAAGGAGTGAAGGCAGACTTGAATCTGCATCTCCCAAGGTCATCCAATGACTTTCTGTGTGGTTAAGTGTAGACTTAAACCTGCATCTTCCAAGTCATCCAAGGAACTTCTGTGTGGGTTACAGGTGGATCCGTGTCTCCCCAGTTCTGGTTTAATGCTTTCAACACCAAACCACGTGGCTCTCTATTACTGAACAATTGGCTAAACATACTATGGAAAATAAGCTGTGTGGGTTTTTTTAAGTGCCCAATTCTATCTTAGCTTGAGCCAAGCAGAAGCAAATTTCAAGTCACATCAAATCCAATGGAAATTGCTGTTGGCTGTAGCAGCTGGACCGGATCCAAGAAGAACAAGAACAACAACAGAAACCCACCCCATCCAGCTTGCAAATGTTCAGTCTTTTCGCTCACGTGCCGGATAATTTACCAGAAATGGATGAGACCGACATTCAGCCTCATGATCACGATTAGCTTGATTCCTACAAGTAGCTGAAGCTCGAGCCACCAAAATTACAAGTTTGGGAACTGAGACACCCTAATCATTCCAGCAGATGCTCCAGGACTCAACCCAACCTCAAGGTGATGTTTTGAAAACCATTTAAAAATGTTTTTTGAAAGACAGAGCAGCTGGTTTTCATTTAAACTCTACACCAGCGCAATTTGGAGCCCCTTCAGTTCAATTTCGCAGGTCTTTGCTCGCAAACACGCTCCTAGTTTTGGCCTGCAATATCCATTACCCCCGTTGAATAGACCCTCCTGAATGGGCCTCAGGATTTGGATTTCAAAAATAAGCCCTTTCTTGGAGCGATGTCCACCAATCCATTCATGCTATTCTTGGTTCGCGAACATTAATTGGACCATAATGGGATGAAAGAAACTTGGTTTGGCTTGGAGAGGGACCAGCTTCAAGCAACAGGAAGAATGGCTGATTTCTTCACTAAAATATAAATTATGCGGCTCTGGATAACCACACGTTCCTTTCTAAAATACCTGTCAGATCTTGAAAAGTCAAGAGCTTGGTTTCTTCCAGAGGCTTTCTAAGGAGCCCACATAAGCTCATCTTGACTCTACCACGAAACAGAGGAAGAAGAATGTCTGAACAATGGCTGTGTTTAATGCAATCCAGCATGTGTTTTGGGGGGAATGGAGTCCAACCCCATTAAAAGCTTCTTCGACTCTTTTCAAACTTTATATAGTTTTCATGTTTTATTTATACACCACTCAGGTATATATACAGACAAAGTGGTAGTAGCAAGGACCAGAAGACTGTGGTGGTGATAGACATAGTGGTACCAAGTGACAGTAACATCAGGAAGAAGAAGTATAAGAAACTGGAGGAACTGGAGAAGATGTGGAAAGTAGAGGCCAAAGTAGTCCCAGTGATGGTAGTAACACTTAGGACTGCAATTCCAAAGATAGGATAGGGGCTCCAACAGGTAAGACAAGGGCAAAGAAACTGCATCCTACATCCATGGTTGGTCATCACATGATTAAAAAGATGTTGAGACTTTGGAAAAAATGCAGAGAAGAGCAACAAAGAGGATTTGAGGTCTTCTGATATCTAAGGGGATGTCATAGAGAAGAGGGGAGGCCACCTATTCTCAACAATACCAGAAGGCAGGAGAAGAAGTAACTGTTGGAAATTAATCAAGGAGAGACCCAATCTAGAACTAAGGAGAAATTTCCTGACACAATGGTCCAGTGTCTCCTACTTGAGCAGGAGGTTGGATTAAAAGAACCCCAAGGTCCCTTCCAACTCTGTGTTCTCTGTTATTCAGAAAGAAAGAAAGAAGCCAGCTGGTTCTCTTTGACCAGATTTAGTCAAGTGACCTTTCCTCAACTCCCTGAAAGAACTTCTGACTCAGTTTACTTGCTGGATGAACCAACAGGAAGAAGGAGCAGAAGGTAGTTTGTGAAGTCTATCTGCATCTTGCCTAACCAGGAGGTTAGCCTGGCCCAACCACTCTTCTGCATCCTCTCCAATCTTTGTTAGGAGGACGTCTTGCGAGAAAGCCAACTCCCTTGGGAGGAAGGGGAACAAAGCAAAAGAGCTAGCTCACTTGGTCTATTTGGGGGCAGGGGGGCGGGCACAGAAATAGCCACCAGAACAGAAAAGGAAGAAAAGGGAGAAATGCCTCTCAAGATGACAATACATCAAGATTGGAGTGTAGCAAAAACAGCTCAGCCACAGGGCATTTCCGGAAGGTCCGTGAAAGGGCAGGGTTACTGCTCTGGCACAATTCCACCCCACAGGCTATTAATCACCAGGAAATGCCTTTCCCCACTACAAATCAAGGAAGGGGAAGGAGAAGGAAACTGGCCTGCTACTGTAATGAGACTGAATGGGACAACTTGCCATGGCCAACTCACCATGGCCAACTCATCATGGCCAACTCGCCATGGCCAATTCACCATGGCCAATTCACCATGGCCAACTCACCATGGCCAACTCATCATGGCCAACTC